ATTTGTTTAGCCTTCAATTTTAGCAGCTTTTGAGCTACATCAATCACAAAACAGACAATAATAAAGAAGCTGTGACAATCTGTCATGCTTGACAGCCTAAACTTTACGCAGAGGAAAAATAAGGAAGAGAATTTTATTATTCAAATTAAGCCATGAGGAACTCTGGTGGCATGGTGCATACATGTTATGCTGCTAACCAAAAGGTTGACAGGTCAAATCCACCTGCTGCTCTTAGGAAAAGAGTTAAGTCTCCTGTAAAGATTTACATTACCAGATGAAGGGTCACTATGATTCAAAACTAACTTGATAGCAGTGGATTTTGGTTTGGTTTGGGTGTTATTAGTACAAAAATTTTGCAATTTTTCTGGGTCACACATTTCCCTGTACTCTGCTTATTTCAAAAGAAGTTTCTGGAATAATAGGAAAGCACTGATGTGTCAATAAGAAAATAAGTAGGCAATATATGTGGCTAAAATTTTCAATTAAAAACTTTTTAGAACTTTTCTCTTTTTTCAAGTAAATTTTCAATTAAAAACCTTTTGAACTTTCTCTTTTAAATTTTTTTATTTTGTGTGTGTGTGTGTGTGTACCATCAAATCAGATCTGACTGATACAGGAGGAGATTGTTCCTCCTTCTCCAGCAGAGCATCTGGTGGATTTGAACCATGCACCTCTGGGATTGCAGTACATCTTCTTGCCACTAGGCCACCAGAGCTCATCTGAACTTTCTCTCTAAAAAACTTTTTAACTTAATCTTAACCCAAGCAAATTATCAAATGGCTGAATATGGAGCATCTTAAAAGATTATTACTAATTTAGGATTAAGGACATTAAAAGTATTTGAATAATAAATGCAAAATTTTCCCTGACAATTAGTTATTAGAATATTGCCGCTGAATGGCCAATTTATTAAAATATTGTCTTGGAGTTTTTAGCTTGTTTATTATTTGTCAGTAGTGTAGTCACCAGTCTTTGAAAGTTAATGTTACATGAGCTCTCACAATTTTTTCTTTTGGTGGTTAAAAACTCTTTTAAACATATCAAATCTTTTTCATTCATAGTTGTGTAAACATGGTGACGTTAAACACACTTAACTCAAGGAATACTGGCATACGGCATTAGACAAATTTGATAAATCTTGCAACACACTTTGTTTCAACTTACACTATATATTTAAGACCTGTACCATAGTGTTTTCTGTGAAAAACTATTCTTACTGGATGGCATGTCATCATCCTTTTGGTGACACAGCCTGGCAACTTAAATTCATTGCTTGGAAAAATACATGGTGGTTTATTTTAAACATATTTTTTCCACATTATTTCTACATTACACTCACATATCTTCCCCCTCGTTTATTCAGCTTCTTTTTTTTTAAGTCAATACTGTAGATTTTTCAGAATTTACATAATTTATGCACCTATTTTTTCCCCTGTGCAGATATGTGTATTGATAAATTCATTAATGTGGGGACAAATTTAAAAACTTATAACATTACACAAAGAAGAAGATCTGCCCTTCTCAGCGCTGAGATGTCTACTTTTAATCCATATCTAGGACCTTTGCACAAAGTCTCTGAGGTCTTGCAACTCATGAAACAATACACAACATGAATGAGTCTAGAGGACATTACACTGACTGAAATAAAGTCAGCCACAAGAGAACAAACACTGTATAAAACCACTGCTGTATTAAACAACAACAACAAAAACAAACTAGAGAAAAGTTTGCATATAGAGAAAATCGACGTAGCATGGTTACTAGGAGTAAAAGTTGAGAAGAAAAAAAAATCAATGGATAGACAATAAACACTTTCTTGGAATAAGTGAAGGGAATGACAGCGTGAAATAAATGGATGATCAAATAGTGTGGGCATTGTAAGTAATGATATAGAACAAAATGGGCAAGATCGCTTTCTTTTAAAAGCTAAGGAAATATTTATATACAGATAGGATCAATCTTGGACAGGGAAGCAGGGTTGGAAGGGAGGAAGATGGAAATAAGGATTAATAAATAGGTTGGGTGGAGGGAAAAACAATGTACAATGGAGGTTTGATGAAACACTGTAAGTGCATGAACAAACTGGCAGTGATGCTATAAAATAAAGTATATTTGAATTTTAAAAACTGAGGAGGGAAAATTGAAGTTATTTAGGGATTTTACTCACAACCTTGATTTCTCTGGACTAACAAATGGCTGCTAGAGTCTAAAACTCATAAGACCTTGGTTTAGTTTCTGCCTTTCCACCTGCTTTGTAAATTTGCTCAAAAACTGCCATGAATCCACTCACACCTTGTCTCAATCTCCTGGGAAGGAATTTCTTTTGTAGTTAAGGATAAGTCCCAGGCTCTTCTATCTTTCTGTATTTCTGTGGTTTGGTGAAAAGTGATATTCCTTTGATAGTCATCTCCATTACCATTTGGAAGTATCAGTCTCCTACATTATTAATGCAAATCAAGCACTTTGTTGCCTAGCAACACGACACTATACAAAGATAAATTGTAATTAAGTAATCATAAATCATTCACTTTATCAGCTTTATCAACTATAACAGTGTGAAGCACCTCAGCTGTTTGGCAAGAGCATGACCAAGGCATGCTCAGACTTGGCAAACATTTATTCCTTCATACACTGAATAAATATTTATTGAAGATTTTCTATATTCCAGTTGCTGAACTAGACTCTAAAAGAAACAACCCTGTCTCACCTACATTACTCAAACCCACACCACAACAAACTTAATATGTGTGCATTTGCCTGATCATAACTATTTTGACTATAGGGCCATTCAAGAGGTAAAACCAGGTATTATAAAGTCTTTTTTCCTGAAGTGGACATAATTTCTATCCTAAATTCTGTCATTTGGTTAATAATGATAATGTGTAATTCTCAAGGAATTTTGCCTTATATTCCACAAGGGAATATGTGACATAATTCATAGTTTAGGCTAGAGAGATTTTATAATAGGGTTTAAGATAGCATATTTATTATCCTTCCCAAAACGCAGACAAGTGAAACTTTACTGATCACTGATGTAATCTTTAATTACTTCACCAGTCTCCGCGGGCCTGTGTTTTCATTCAAATTGATATGTCACTTAAATGTATTATTTCCAATTGGCCTACGCTGATGTACACATTAAAAATAATGAATATTTATTGTAGTTGCTAAAATTAGTTTATCCCTAAACTCTTATTAAATACAAAGATAAATGAAGGTGTTATAATGAAATCTAAATAAATTGCAACTTAAAAATATCAAAAGCAAGAAATTAAGTTACAAATTAAAACTTTTAAAGAAATATTAGTGTTTTTTATAAAAGGAATGTACTAGAGGATTTGAAAAGAAGCATTTTGTAGAAACTTGAAGCCTTGAAGGAAGTTTTTGTTTGTTAGGGGGAATTTTTTTTTTAAAGTGTTATTTCCAAGACTTAACGCAGTGATCTAGTTGTGCTACAAAGATGTCACACTTAGTTATCATAGTTTGTAGTGGATGATAAAAATCTTAATCTAGAAAAGAGTATTAATAATAAATACATAAGTAGAGTTATATTGAAGTGAGCACAGAGGAGAGACTGTGAAAAATATTATTCATTTTCTCATCTTAAAAACAGACTAAATGTTCAGCTACTAATCGAAAGGTTGGTAGTTTGAACCCACCAGCACCTCTACAGAAGAAAGATATGGCAGTCTGTTTTGATAAAGATTGCTGCTGTTATTTGTGCACTGTTGAGCCATAACCAACTCACAGCTAAACAAACCTCCAACAGGTTTTTAGGGGCTGTAAATCTCACGGCAGGAGACTGCCCATCTTACCTCACAGAAAAGCTGGTGGATTTGAACTGGGCTTCTTTGGGTTGGCAGTTCAACTCCTTACCACTAGGCCAACAGAGCATATAGATTACATCCTTGTAAACTCTACATGTAGCTCTATAGAGCGCATATGAATAGGAGTTGACTCAAAGTCAACAAATTTGGTTTGGTTTTAGAACAAACAGGCTAAACTGTGGAAAATCTTTACAAATTCCAAAATATGTGTTGATGTTAGAATCAGAGTTAATCTTTAGAGATCTAAAAGTCAGGATAATATATTTTTGGAAAATCACAAGACATAATTAGCACAAGTGCCTAGTTTAGTGTTCAAATCAGTCCTTAAGAATATTTGAAAAAAAATCACTTCACTGAAACTCATAGATCAGCTTCATGAAGCTGTTCTCAGTTTATAGGAATACAAAATACATTTTTTTAAAGAGCATTTAAATCAGCTTTTCAAATTTGTTCTAGGTTGGCAGGAATATAAAATATATTTAAAAGGAGGAGCAGTTAGCTATGTGGATAGCCACAAATCCAAACAAAATGAAATTCTTCTAATTAAGGTAATGAATACACCTAATTATCAACTCAACCCAAACATAAAGCTTGGTCATTTTAGGATCTAATCTGATTGTTTAAGCAATACTTAAGTAAGATCAGGGCCAATGGATATTATGAATACATTGCAGATTTATTTCATCCTAAATTAACCTTTTTCAAACATAAAGGGAGAAAAGACATAGAAGATAAAAGAGAAAAAGATTACATTAGAATACCAAGGTCCTTGAACACACCATTGTCCCCTTGTCCTTGACAACAGGAGTGCTTAAATCCCTACGCAATCATTGTACTAAAACATTCATTATCCCCACCTTACTCTCAAAGAGACCAAGGTCATTTCTTTTTAAATAAAAATGTATGTGTTCGTCACATAAATTAACACATTTTCAGCGACAAGTGGAAGAGACTCAGACACTAGAGTATTATTAATATATTTTCTTTTGTTTGTGTTCGATAATTTTGGCACATAGTGGATCATCTATGTTTCTGAGATCAGTTAGCCTTTTATCAAATATTTCACTTGGATGCATAAACAGTGGCATGCCAGAGATGCCTAAATTCACAGTAAGATTTAGGATTATTTGTTGCCAAAAACTGTGAACACTCAAGTTGATTAAATATTCTCTTTCATGCTCCTGTACCTATTATTTCATTGGATAATGAGATAGGTTGCCCTTTCTGTCCTTCATTAGAGCAGCTGGAGACAGCATTTGCTACCTGGCAGAACTTCCGAAGAAGGATCTTTCTTAGCAGCAGATAAACCCAGGGATCCAAGATCTGGTTCAGTGAAGCCAAGCGAACAGCTATTAAGAAGAAGTTGCACTCTTTGTGCTTTTCCGTCAGACTTTTGCAGTGCTCAACTGAGGTCTGATTGAAGATCATTTTCAACATCATTATCTAAGAGAGAAGGACAAACATTTGTTGCAAAACTGATAAAGTTTTTATATTCATCTCATCAATACAGTATTTCACAAATAGTTGACTTTCAAAAAATTATTCAATTGAAATTATTAATTCAAGCAGCATTTATACTCATGTTGTTGTTGTTATGCAGTATTAAGTTGGCACTGACTCTCAGCTTACCCTCCAGAATGTTTTCAGAGCCCACAACAAGCACAGAAGGAGAAAACCCATTTGTTTCCCATGGAAGAGCTGGTGTATTCGCACCTGGTGCCTTTGGTGGTTATTGTTGTGTACCGCTGATTTGGAGCATAGTTGACCCTCCAGCGGATTTTCAGAGGCACTTTAATTGCACGGGAGGAGATTGTCCATCCTCCTCCAGCATCACACCTGGTGCCTTTGGGCGGGAAGCACATTTCTTTACCACAAAGCCACCAGAGTTGCTGGCTTTTCTGCTCAAAGAACCTCCAAAACTCACTATTGTCATGTCATCGCAATCTTGTTTAGGTAGAACTGTCCATGACTGTAAATTTCCAACACTGTAAGTCTTTGCAGAAGTGGATTGTCACACTTTTCTCCCAAGAAACAGCTAGTGTGTTCAAAACACTGGACTTTCAGTTAATATCCGAGCACTTATTATCTACTGCGCCACCTACACTCCATTCTTGCAGATTTCCCCCCCTCCTATTTTTGGCTACTTGATATAATGAAAAAGTCTATGTCCTCAGGCTCTTGGTACGTGGAGTTGAAGAACTCTGAGAATAACACAATTCAAAATTAGCCAAATTGTCTTATTAAACAAACAAGCAAACCAACACCAGTTGGCTGACAGACTCAAATTAGAGCCAGCAGTTCTACAAAATGTAATTGGCTATCTCAACTCAACTCCCACTGCCACTGAGTGGGAACTGACTCATTGGGAGATTGTCCATCAGACAGATTTGAACCACACGTGAGGAGCTGCCTTTGGGTTAACAGCTCAACCCTCTATGGATATACCACCAGAGCTCATCCTTGGTAATAGCAGCTTGATATTAGAAAATAGCTACACTCTACCCCCTTTTTTATTAATGATTTTTTAATTCAACATATATATTTTTTACAACATATTCTTTCCATTTAATTTTTCCCATTTATTCATTGTTGCATACTTTCCTCCCTACCCACCTTACCCACCCTGTTCATTTTTCTCTTTGAAAAGAAAAACAAATCTTTCATTGTTATACAATCCCTCCCAAGTCCACAGTCCACTTTACTGTGCATTTGTTTTTCTGGAATCTTATCATTCAAATAATACCTAACCCTATATTCCTTTTAAACAGTTCTCTCCCTCATCTCTTTCAATGCAGAATATATTATTTATCCTCTCTTTTCTTAGTTTCTCCCAATTCCAACGTCAGTCCCATTTTACAACAGTGGCACTATGCAGTATTTGTCCCTTGTGACCGAGATATTTCACACAGCAAAATGTCCTCCAGGGTCACCCATTTTGTGTAATATTTCATTAGTTCTTTGTTTTTCAATGCAGCATAGTATTCCATTGTGTGAATATACCACAGCTTCTCTATCCATTCATTTATTGATGGGCACTTGGGTTGTTCCCAACACTTTGCTACTGTGAACAAAGCTGCAATAAGTGTGCATATATCTGCTTGGGTGGCAGTTCGGGTTTCTTTAGGGTATATTCTCAGTACTGAAACTGCTGTGTCAGATGGTATTTCTATCAGGTTGTTTATAAACCAATCATGGGCAAAAATGATAGGATTTCCAAATTTGATTCATTAGTTTATCTACTGGAATTTGACCTATGGTCCTTGGTTTAATTATCATCTAATGACTAGACAAAATTAGATGCATAAGGAAAAAACAAAACAAAAACCCTGGCCTTCCAGAGAAGCAGTGATTAAAAAGAAGCCTACAGCATATGCCCGTAATGACAAAGCTATGACAGACACTTAACTCAAAAGACTCCATCTTGAAAAGCAGCTTTTCCAACTTCCTGATTTGCATAATACCTCTTTTTCTAAGAAAACTCCACTTTCCCTTCTGAAAATACTAGGAATAAGAGTCTTTCCCCATGTCTTAACTTATCCTACAAATAATTCCAAGAACCTACAGAAATACAGAGTCAACACCTTGGTTTTAGCTAAGACTGAAAATTTCTTACCTATGAAACTATTAAGTGAATAAATATACATTACTCTAAACTACCACATTTGTAATAATTGGTTACAGCAGCCACAGAAAACTAATTCATCCACACTAAGTTTTCAAGAAATGTTCAGAGTGAACCAAGGAAGAATGTACTTGAGAACCATTTATTCTCTAACAGGGATAACCCCCCCAGCAATCTCACTTACACTGTTTGCTTTCTTAGAATGTCTTCCGGTAAAATAAAAAAATCAAAATACACTTCATCTTAATTCCTACCTAAATTATCTCATTTCCTAAATTTGTAACATATAAAAATAAATGCTTATTATTCTAGTGACATCAGTTAGATTTCACTGTTCTTGGCTTAAATGTACAACATGAACATTTTCAGTTGTGTTGTTTATAGGGAAAATATACTATTGTTAATTCTTTATTTCTTCTCTATGAACTATTTGAAAATTTTGTCTAGTTCTCTTAGTCTTTCAGCTCAATTAATAATTATTTTTAATTTTATCACCATATTCTCAGAAGTGTTTTAAGCCTATTCTTGAGTGATCTAAAAATTTACTTCAGTCACATTTTTCATTTGTATTTATGAAACTTTTTAGAATTAGGAACATTTACTAAGTAACTTATTAAAATAGGATGGCAATTATTTTACATAATCATCCTTAATTGTTCTAAAATTAATTATTTTATTATACTAATATAAGTTTTATATGTCTTATTGTTTGGCATGCTGTCATTTCCCGTAACTTACTTCTGATGATGCACTAATTATGAAATTATGAAACCAAATAGCTGGCTCAAGACAAGAAACATGCTAGCTTTTCCCAGAAAGCATGAGACTGCAAGTATGAAGAGAACTGCAATAGAAAGAAGTGAGTATAAAGCTGCCATATCAAAACAGCATAAGTTATGTTGATTGAACTAATGCAATCTCATACGGACAAATGCTACCTAAGACCATTATTGTAAAAATAGGAGAATAACTAGTAAAACATGTATAGAAACTCACGGAAGGGGGCAGGGTGGAGCGGAGGTGGTGGGATATTTGTAGGGGTGAAACTATAGGGTTGCACAGTTTGGTTGGTGGCAGGAGAGAGGGAAGTAAATGGGAAGGATTCAGGTGAAAAGATAGGGTAATGATGGGCAAAGTCCAATGGTGATTAATTTTATAAAACATAATGCATGAGAATGATTGTATGAAACACTTTTCTAATGAAGGATAGTGTAAAACACAACATATGCAAACTTTGTGAGCAAACCAATAAAAAAATTAATATTCTTTTTTTAAAAGACAAACACATAAATATGGAATTGGAGATCCAAAATCCTACTCTAATTTTGAATGTAAATGCAAGTTAGTAATCCATCAGTTGATTATCCTATATTATAGGAGATGAACAGAAATTACAAATTTCCATATTTTGTCAGTATTTTTTTAGAATACCCCAATTAGAAGCAAGTCTTTGGCACGATCTGTAGATATGTTGCTGTAGCTGTTGTTATTTGCCATCAAGTCAGAATCAGCTCATAGCTAATCCTCCTGCAAGTTTTCAGTGGCTGTAAATCATGTGGGAGAAGATTGCCCATTTCTCTTACACAAAGCAACTGGTGGATTCAAACCACCTATATTTAGGTTGGCAGAGCAATTCCTTACCAGCGCTCCCTTGTAGATATGTAGATTTCCTTTAGAAGTAATTATTCCTGACAAATTTTACAGAGAAATATTATTGTAAAATTTGTAGGATTACTAGTCATATGTATGTGAGTGTCCAAAAGGAGAGAGGGAAGTGGGAAAGGGAGTAAAAATGGTCAGGGTGGGGACCACTGGGATAGCAAAGCTGAGTGGTGGACGGGGGTGGTGGTGAAGGAATGGGAAGGATTCAATGTGGACTTGAAGAGGTGGGGTGATAACAGGCATAGATCAATAGTGATTGGTTGTATGAAATACACAAAGGATAGTGATATCTTTTGGGCATGTGGCCAGGAGAGACCAGCCCTTGGAGAAGGACATCATGCTCAGAAAGGTGGAGGGACAGCACAGAGACTGGGGCAATGGGATTAGGTGTGTCAGAGTCAGTGAAACTGGCTCAGGATAGGGCAGAGTTCAGAGCTGTTGTACATAGGCTCTCTATGAGTCACAGGCCACTTGACAGCATATAACAACATGAGTGACTGCATAAAACAAAATGTAAATGAAAGATTACGTAAAACACACTGTACATGAATGAAAGACAATAAAATAATGTTTTTAAAAAATAATTATTCTTATAAATCCAAATTTCTTATACAGGAGTCCCTGAGTGGCACAAATAGTGTGTCACTCAACTGCTAACTGAACACACCCAGAGGCACCTTTAAAGACAGACTTGGCAGTTTGTTTCATAAAAGTCACAGTCTTCAAAACTCCATGAAGCAGTTCTACTCTGCACACAAAGAATAACAGTAAGCTGGAATTGATTCAATAACTCCCTTTAGAGAGGAAAACATAAATAAAACAGGATTCTCAGTCAGCAACACAGATCTGTCAGGATGTGAACTTGTTTTAATACCTCACACTATAGTTTCTTCTGAGCAGCCTCCCAGAATAATGATCTGGCCAAGAGCATGATGGGCCCAGTTCCTGCCAAACAGTGTGGCAGCTTCTCTGACAGTGTGTTTCCCAGGAACCACATCATTCCCCTAGTCCTTCTTACCTCTCCTCTGATTATTAGTAGAAATAGGGACCCTTTTTATATCTGCCAGTAATCAGAAACACAACTATCAACTCAACAAACTCAATTCAACTCATTGCTGTTGAGTGAGAACTGACATAACTTATGCTCCATTGGGATTTC